GTCAATTTCGTTAGGTTACTGTTGATGTTGTGTAACCTTGGTAGTTTGTTCGCAGATTCTCAGAGGTGATCCAGTCTCCCCTCAAAGGGTCCCATAAGTCTCTAACTTGAATAATTCCTTTGGTTATCCAAGTCTTACCGAAGCTGCCCTTGGACTCATTGGCTGAAAAAGGAGATAACTTGAAATCGTCCTGAAAATTTTGAGTATTTTCGAACAGAGGTTGCATAATGATTTCAGATTTGGTGTTCGGAATTTCGCGGGTTGTCGGACGAACTTTATTCCATGCAAATAGTAGGTTTCTCTATAATCTTCTTTTGGGTCTTTTCTTCGCAAGTATTGGGATGTCCATGATGCAACTCCATGCATCCCGTGGTTCAGCTAGGTCCCAATCGGTGTCTTCCAAAGATACTTCTGCTAGTCTAGCATAGCTTTAGCCAACCACTTAGTTAATAAGGCTTTATTTTGAATGCTCAGGTCCAGGATCCCTAAAGGGCCTAAACCCCCCTGGGCTCTTTTTTTTTAGATGAGTTCTCATGCTACCTTCGGTAGAAAGCCCTGACCTTCTTCAGCTTTTGGTTTCCATAAATATTTTATCGTTGCTCTCCTTATGGCCTTGTATGCGCCCTCGCCCAGAAGGTGCATTGTGTATGGGAAGGACAAGATGGAGAAGGCTGCAGATGATAGGACTAGTGCTCCCCCAAATAGGGAGAGAGAATATGTTTTCTCCCATTTGTTATACTTGAGATCACTTTTGTGGAGAGTAGGAGGTCCTGGGTAGCGGAAGCATCTAAAAGTGAGACTTGGATCCCGAGGAGACGTTCAAAATTTTGGACGGGTACTTGTTGCATTCCCGAGTCCGCCGCTTGTAGAAAAGGTTCAGGAAGGAGAAATGTGGATTTGTTCCAGTTGATTGAGGCTTCGGATAAGTGGCAGTAGTTCTCTATTACCTCATGTAGTTTGTCCAATGATTCCCTAGTGTTTGTGCAGACGACTGTGAGGTCATCAGCGATGGCACTGCACTCCCAATGTAGAGTTGGGGTGACTTTAAGGCCACCAATGACCTTGTTGTGACAAATGTTTTCAAGAAACACTTCTAGCTGAAGCACAAATAGCAAACTTTAAAGAGCAAGTGGGCAACCTTGTCTTAGAGATCGCGATAGCGAAAAATTCGAATAGAGTTTGCCATTTACGTTAACTACCGCTATAGTTGTTGAATACATTGCTTAGTACACCCATTTGCAGAAGGAGGTACCGAAGTTCATGTGTTTTAGCGTTGTGGCCACAAAGGCCCGCCCTGCTTTATCATAAGTTTTTTCTAGGTCCAAAAGAATGACAACTACTTCTCTCTTTTCAATGCTGATTATTTCTAGTGCTTGCATCGTTGTCAGGATGTTCTCGAATATCGAGTGGCCTCTTACGAAGGCCCCTTGTTCGCTCCCGGTTAGCTGGGGTAAATATCTGGCCAGTCTCAAGGCTAAGGCTTTTGCCACAATTTTGTAGGCCATGTTCAAAAGGGAGATCGGGCGCCAGTTGTGAACCTCCCTCTTGTCTCCCTTCTTGTATAGTAGTATGATGATTCCTTTGACCCATCCTGTAGGCAAATTTTTCCCTTCAAGAAGACCGTTGTATACAGCCATTTGATTTTCGTCGGTAGATTCCTCCATTTTATTCTGGTTGTTTCTTTTTGGTCCATTTGTTGTTTTCAGTTTGCAGGCTGATGGGACGCTGGACCCGGTTTCCAACACTGAACCTAAACTGGGTAATGGCCCAGATGTTTGTGGAGGATTCTCGGGCTCCGAGTGTTCAAGCATCTTCTTCATTCCACTCTTCCACCATTTTTCGGCTCCAAACTCACAAATTATCGTACTACTTCACTCAAGCCCAGCCGAGTATGTCCCTTCAATTGAAGGACTTCAATTGAAGGAGTCGCTCGTTTCTGCCTCCAGCCGCCATCACTCATTCGCTCGTTCCACCACTCCCTGCAAGACGACGGAGTCACTTGCGGGACGGTGGAGGGATTTGGGCTGGTTTAGGAGGTGTGTGGGCCTGCGGCCCGCCTTTCTGACTCACTCCTATGAGATCTGGCAGCATCTTCGCCCTCACCTTTTCCTATTTTATTTGGAACAGTCTTGGGGAGTACTGTGCCAAGTCAAGTTCATCCGCATATGCTAAGGAGTCCCAAGACAGTTCCAACAAATGGTTCCAACAACTTTGGTCCCAGTCTTACGGTTCTTGCGGTTGGCATTCCGGTCGTCACCTGTTTTGAATATTCAGACAGAACTTGCATTCGCATCCATCCAATTTCATTATCTACGACTCTGCAGGACATCCGTCCAACCATCAGGACAACTTCCTACAATCGACGACACACAAGAGCATCGGCTAAGATCTACGGGGATTGTCGGGAGACGTGACACTCACCCAGGCTGAAGAACGGCCTCGCCGACCCGAGCGGTACCACTGCCTTGGCCGAAAACAGTATAAGTCACAGGGGTCTGCACTGTGACCACAACTTGTGAGGTCTCTCGAGCAGCGCCCTCCAGTCCGCACCCGCTCGCAGCACTCATCGCATACGCAAACCTGCGCAGGATCACAAGGGTAAGTCCTACGGAGTGTGAGTCGTTCTCCTCGCCTTTTGGCGAAGCGGCCCCGCCACCCTCGATCTTCCCACGGTGTGCGGGCCTGCGGCCCACCTTTCTGATTCACTCCTACGAGATCTGGCAGCATCTTTGGCCTCACCTTTTCCTATTTTATTTGGAACAGTCTGGACTGGAGGGCGCTGCTCGAGAGACCTCACAAGGTGTGGTCACAGGGCAGACCCCTATGACTTATACTGTTTCCGGCCAAGGCAGTGGTACTGCTTGGGTCGGCGAGGCCATTCTTCAGCCTGGGTGAGTGTCACGTCTCCCGACAATCCCCGTAGATCTTAGCCGATGCTCTTGTGTGCCGTCTATTGTAGGAAGTTGTCCTGATGGTTGGGCAGATGTCCTGCAGAGTTGTAGATAATGAAATTGGATGGATGCGAATGCAAGTTCTGTCCGAATACTCAAAACAGGTGACGACCGGAATGCCAACCACAAGAACCTTAAGACTGGGACCGAAGTTGTTGGAACCATTTGTTGGAACTGTCTTGGGACTCCTTAGCATAGGCACAATACTGGGGAACTGAGCCTAAACTGGGTAATGGCCCCAGAGTCTTCCCTGTTGTTTGTGGAGGATTCCCGCCCTCAGAGTGTTCAATGGTAATAAATGCAAACCTTCAAAAAAAAAAAAAAAAAAAGAACGCTCAACCTGCAGCGGAAAGCTTACCCCGCCGGTCTCATAGGCATAGCGCCTCGCTCCGCTATAGAACACTCTACATGCATCTGGACGCTATCTGGGCCAGGTGCATTGGGAAGAGTCCAAAACTTGGAATGCATGCCGTCTAGAAGGCGTCTAAATGCATGTAGAGTGTTGTGGAGTGGAGTGGAGCGAGGCCCATAGTACTCCTTGTGTACTGACGTAAACCACTCCTGTTTTTCTTGTCTCTTCTGCGAAATTGGCAGGGGCGGGAAGATTTCCGAAAGGGGGGGGGGGGGGGGGGGGGGGACGCGCGGGGAGGAGAAAACTACTACAGATAGCTTGCAGCCAAGCAGCGCAAAAAGCTTTGACCGTCACTCTGTGCGGAACTTTGTCTCCCCTGTCTGTACTCACACTCGCGGTATCTAAAATGTATCTGACCGCATTCACGGCCATACCTGGATGTAAGCGGGCCGCAATTCCGTCCAAGAATACGTAAGAAAGTCGTCGTGAGAGTATGCGCTGAGTGGAAGGAATGTATCCGAATGAATATTCAACGAGTCAGATCGACATCTCGACCTCCATAGCGCGAACTAAAGTGGTCGCTAACCCTCCCCCGTCTTTGGGGTCCTCCGCCTACTGGCCGCAATTCCGTCCAAGAACACGTAAAAAAGTCGTAGTGAGAGTATGCCCTGAGTGGAAGCCACCTGCCGTTCGGAAGATTTTTTTATTTTTATTTTTTTTTGGAAAAAGCACCTGCCGTTCGGAAGAGAATCTTATGCCGCGCAGACCCGACGGAAAGGAGTATCCGAACGAATATTCAACGTGTCAGATCGGCATCGCGACCTCCATGGCGCGAAGAAAAGTGGTCGCTAACCCTCCGCCGTCTTCGGGGTCCTCCGCCTGCAGTAGCGCCGCGTTCCCCGCCGTCCACGGGGGGGGCTGTTGCTGGTGACGCTGCCGCTGCTGCTGTGAATCAGGGGCGATTGCTTCCGCGTAGTTCCCGCCATCCTTACCCCCTTCCTTTCGTACGTCCTTCTCTCCCGCATTTTGTCTCTTGCTCTGGTTTGGTGAAAATGTGGAGAAGTAATTCTTTTTCTCTCCTCCCATTCATTGAATCCTATTATTTCCTCCTCCTCCTTTTTCTTACGACGTCCTTCTCTCTCTCTCTCTCTCTCTCTCTCTCTCTCTCTCTCTCTTTTTACGCAGAGCCTATCAAATCGAACGTCATTAAAATCAGATCAGACGGTGTCTCAAAATGACAAACACTGCAAGGAGCTGTGGCAGAGAGGAAAGAAAATGCATGCCATTCATACGAGGACGATTGGGGACCAGAAATTGTGAATCGGAAATGCTAAACAAGCAAGAATTGAACAAAAAACAAAAACAAAAAGAGTAATCATGTTAGGGTGCGAGAGGGGTTGGAAGGGGTGGGAGAGGGGTGGGAAAGGGCCGGAAGGGGTGGTAGGGGAAGCAGGCCTGGGGTAGACGCAGCAGTTCGTTTGCGGAGTAACCGTAATTAACACCCCTACCACAGGGGAGTAACACCCGCGTCCTCCCCCCGTAATTACGCCTCTTCGAGCAATTCAACTAGTGCAATTGAATTACACCCGCGTCCGCCCCCCCCCCCCCCCCCCCCCCCCCGCCCCCCTTCCCCCCACCCCCCCCCCCGCAAATCCTACCTGCCTCCCTACCGTCTTCCTCCAGACACAGCGCACAATTATCGTGAATGCATACAAGCTACAATTCCGGTCCGCTACCGGCATCATTTGAGGGTGCGTTGTGTTCGGGGGAAGACGGTGGTAATCCTGGAGATGGCGACCCTTATAATAAGCACCAGGGGAGTTGATTGAGAAGCCAGGAACATAACAGTGAATGGCCGTGGGCGAGGGAAGACGGCCCGAGCAGCTGAATTACAGTATAAGGAGAAGCACCATTGCAAGTTCTGACAAGGCACAGCATCGCAAATGCCACGAGGAGGTCGAGGACAAGTCTGAAATTTCGTCGTCACGAAGAGAATAACACCAGACACACGACGAAGAGGAGAAAAAGGAGGGGGACAAGAAGCCTGAAACGTCGTCGTCGATACTAGATTAACACCACAGACAGGCACGCCGAAGAGGATACTAAGTACTAAGAGATTAACACCACAGGAATCCGCCGAAGAGGATACTAAGACATTAACACCACGGGCACGCCGAAGAGGATACTCAGAGATTAACACCACTGGAATCCGCCGAAGAGGAGAAAGAGGAAGAGGCAGAGGAGGACAAGAAAGAGGTGGACGTGGAGGCAAGGAGGAGGACAAGGAGCCTGAAAGTTCTCGAAACGAAGATCTAAACACCATAGCTACGACGAAGACGACGAAGACGAACCAGAGGAGGAGGAGGAGGAGGAGGAGGAGGAGGAGGAGGTGGTGGGGAAGCAGGAGCGATGACTATGGCCATCAGAGTGAGATGAAGACTTGTGGATGAGCCACGGCCGCCAAAGAAGCTGCTAAGGAGAGGAGAAGAGATCTGAGAAATGCTCCTCCTCCATCATGCAAAGGAGCTGATGAGCTGTCGTCCTCGGTCCCAAAGAGTACAGCCAACTCACCGGGGGAAGGAGCCATCGCCCCGTTCTGCGAGCCGTTTCCTGGCGAATCCACCGTACGCGTGGTACCCATTCTGGGTTCCGCCTCTGTCGTTCCCCCTCCTCCGCTGCTGCTGTCGGCGTTTGTAGTCGTCGTCAGAACCGCTGGGACGCACGACCCGTTACCCGTGGACATGGAGTAGGGATCTGTACTTGAGGGTTCACAAGCGGCCCCCCCAGCTTCGGCCCCGACGACCGATCCTCTTACTACCCCTCCTTTTCCTCCTCCGCCTCCTCCCTTCTCTCCGGAACCCCATTTTGTGCCCTTGACATCGCCGAGATCCGCGAGTGCAACCGACGTCTGGTTCTCCCAGCCTGAGGTGGGGTGGCCTGACCCTCCTCCTCCAAGACTAGCCACCGTCGTCTCTGATGAATTGCCCAGTCCATCGAACGGTCCGCCGTCTAGGGAAGTATTGGAGGATATGGGGAAGGAGGTACCTGCGCCTCCTCCTCCTCCATTCCCCCCATCCAAGTCCGCGGAGGATTGCAGTTGAGGGGGAGAGTTTCCCGGGGGCGCTGCGGTATCCTCCTCCTCTCCGGGGGGGCTGCTGTCTTGATGCCCCTGGGCCAAGGGGTCTGAACTGGTGGGCACTGTTTTCCAAGCGGATATGGTTGCCAAGCCGTCGCCTTTCTCTCCTCTTCGTTTCGTGTCGAGCTTGCTGCTGCTGTCCTGGCTGCTCCCGCTTTGGGGCGCCTGCTTCTGCTTCTTCTCCTCCTCCTCCGTCGTCGTCGTCGTCGTCGTAGGTGCCCGCGCAGCAGAAGCAGCTGCAATGATCACGCGCATGGCTGATCGAGGACAACGACAGGCATCAGAGTTTTTTTTGTTTTTTTTTTAACTATACTCTTCTCTTAATTTTTTCCTCACACTTTTAGGGTCAAAAAATTGGAAGGACACAAAAAAAAAAAAAAAAAAAAAAGGGGAGGAAGGAGAGCCTGTATTGCTGAGGCTTTGCTTGCTCCGGCAGCATCTGATTCATCAGTTCATATCCCTAAACCCTAACAACAGCATAAACAAACTGGTAACAACGAAGGGCCTACAGTCTTAACCCGAATACAACGCACGGTCATTATAGCTGAATTTAGACCGAAAGATACGCCAAATTCAGCTATAATGACCGTGCGTTGTATTCGGGGGAAGACTGTAGCGCCACCCGTCACCAAAAATGTGCAAAATGAGAATGAACCTGCCGATACAACATGGAGAGATACATTGTCATCATACCTTTTTGTCTCTTTCGTGCATTTGGTGATAGGATGCGGCGCGAGGCCCTCAAGAAGGAAGAAAAAAGAAAACGGAGCTTGTGGCGGCACCTCTGCAGAAAAAGGGCCTGCATATAGGCAAGCCTTCCAAGAAAGAGGGCCTGGTTTAGACACAAGTCCAATCATACAGGCAATCAATGGAGTCGCCTGGCCACACCACTCTTGAAAACGTTCTTTCTACGAACCTAAAAAGAAAAAAAGAAAACCTAATATTTTAGACACAAGTTCATTTGCGTTTCTGACCAGCCAAATGAATTTGAACTTTGAAGTCAAGAGCTCAGTATCCCATCATGATGGCTGCAGTAGATGTTAACAACAACAACAACTCAACATCTTAACAACAACTTAACAACTTAACAACAACAACTTAACAACAACTTAACAACAACTTAACAACAACAAAACAACTAACAACAACTTAAAAACTTGCCGCTCCCCACGAATAGATTGGAGCCAATTGTTTAAGAAAAAAAAAAAAAANAAAAAAAAAAAAAAAAAAAAAAAAAAAAAAAACACTTAACAACAACAACAATAACAACAACAACAACAACAACAAGAAGTAGATCAATGTTGCAGAGGAGTCAAATTACTTCATTCCTCCTTTGAGTGTCTTTCTTTTCTCTTTTTGTTCGTGTTTGGGGGGGGGGGTAAGTCCGTTTGTGTCACAAAAGAGTTTCGAATGGGCAAAACAAAACACGAACGGGCAAAAAAAACAGGAACGGGGAAAAAACAACAGCCGCCAAACTAGAAAGAGGGATGAAAGCACTGCTCGCCCTGGCCCAGAGGGTGGGTGTCATAACTACAAGGATCGGCCGTGGCATTAGATGGTGAAAGAAAACGGATGAAAAAAGGCCCGATATCTTTCCGGGTAGACTGTGAGGACCCCGGCCTCAGTTCTCTTGTCTTGGAAATATAAGCCTTGGGCACTGGGCCCGGTTTTCTTCTTAAAAAAAAAAAAGCCCCAACGGTGGCGCGCGGTACTTCCATTGCCACTTGGAGTTCGGCGGCCGCTCTTTTGGCCCGTTCGTGTTTTTTTTGGCCTCAAGTTTAGAGTTCCAAATCATGAAACTGCCCCACTTGTTCATCTTTCTTTTTTTTTTTTTTTGTGTGTGTGTGTGCGCTTTGTGTTCCTCTCCTCACTTACTTGGGCACAGCTTCTCAGAAGATGTGGTGAAAAACCTTGGCACATTCGTCACGTTCACTTTTACCCCTGTGGAAATTCAATGGCCAAGAAACAGAGAACACACGCCACAAACAGGAAGCACAAACCCGAAGAAAACCACAGCATTAGTTAACCTTTAGGTGGAGTGTGTTCTCTGTTTGGAACCCTCACTTTCCTTAAAGTTTCTCTTCTCCGCCATCATTCTCCTATGATTCTATGAAACTTTTGTTGTTGTTGTTGTTTTATTTTTCATCCCTGTCATTTGCGCACCCTGCTGGGCTACCAACCGGGCCGTCTGGGTCACCTTCATTGCCCACCTTCATTATCCTTCATGAATGCGCCCTAAAGTCTATCCCCAGACAGGGCAAAGTAAAGAGCAGACGAATTAAAATTAAGATATTCCGTGATGTCACTATATGCAGGAAGAGAGGTGCAGAAATAAGCAAGAAGAAAGCAGCCCGTCCCATTTCCACCTCTCTCTCTCTCTCTCTCTCTCTCTCTCTCTCTCTCTCTCTCTCTCTCTCTCTCTCTCTCTCTCTCAAGCCAAAAAACACGTCACAACAGAAAGGAGGTAAGAAACAGTAACAGAGCGGCATTCCACAAGTGGCCACTTCACGCAGGCAAAAACCGTTCGTGACTGCCTTTATTGCCATCACAGAGCATATTCTGAAACCCCTCATCGCGATTCTCTTCCAGCTCCAACAGTACTTAGGCTGCCGGCAGGCAGACAGGTGAAGAGACACGCCAGATGTCCCGCAGATCTGTTTGAAAGTATAATGATCTGTAAAAGGTGAAGAATAAATGAATCTATCCTAGGGGCAGAGGTAAATAAAGAGCACCGGATTGACATTTCCAACATTTGTGAATGTGCCCTAAAGCTATGGACAAATACAGAGCAACCCAAAATAAGAGAACCACCTACGTGGCTATTTCACTCTATTCCATGAGAGAGCAGACGAAGTCCTATCTCTACCTGCCCGCAATCAATGAGTGTAACCTACTAACAGGGAAAAATTAAGAGCACCAGATTCTCTTCTCGCTCCAACTATGAACAGATTCAGAGCAGCCCGAAATATTTGAAACTGAGGACACTCTCCCACCGTAGCTGCAAACTCTCCCACTGTCCGCAGCAACGTCGTCTCCAATAGTTCTGTGTTGCATTCTCCCCTGCTTCTCCGAGATTTGGCGAGTGTATCAAGCCAAAACTTCGGTCAGATACTCTTCATGGTTTCGACCAGGTCTGGTGAGTCACGCTGTTCCATTGGAGTAGCTCTTGTAGACAGCACTCCCACCGTCATCACAGCCCTCCCACTGCTTGCGCTGATGCTGCGCCATCCTCCCCATAGTCCTTCGAGTGCCGCATGATAGTGTAGTTGATGATTGGTGTAAATGGTGTACTTGGTAAATTGATGAATCCCGTTTGTGCAGGGCTGCCAGGATGCCATAGTCCCTGAGCACAAAGGCGCTCTCTCCCCCAATCAAGGAGGAGGTGGGGCTATGATGACACTTTTCTCCGGGCATCAAGTCTTCAACCATTGCCCGGAGACCTAGCAGGGTAGGCGAGGCGATGAGAGTAAAGCGTGGTTTCAGCGTAGCACCTCTCCATACTCAGCCGCCGACTGGAGGCGGTCGCCAGCCGAAGCCGACCGCATAGAGCAGAATTAGAGCTACGGTGCCGCCAGTCCGCGACCCCTTTTTTCAAGTTTTTTGTCTTCGGTTTTCCTTTTTTTGTTTTTTTTGCTTTAAATTTTGAATTCGAGAGAGTTCAGCAACAGGCGCAGCTTGGTTGTAACGTTTTTTAGGACCTCGACTTTTTTTTTTTTTTTTTCCTCTTCTCCTCATAAATTTCATGAAATAATTTGAGGCCGGGGTCCTCACAATTCAACCCGGTGTACTGAGAGCATTACTCAGCTTAGCTTATCCTGGAGAGAACCAGGGGCATAGATCTCAGGTAAAACTTCAGTCAAAATAATAAAGGTAGCCCGTGAGAGGGAGATGTCTACTGTAGTTTCTGGAACTTAAGGCAATTGCCTCCACCTAAAACGGTCCAGTTGAGTCTCCCTATCCGGAAAGAATGGGCTCTCTCAGTCCATCAAGTGCAGCCGAGAGCAGAAACTACACTGGCCAAATGCTTCTACTGTGTTCAGTTTGTCAAGCCAATTCCTGCTGAGTGAAGTTCTCTAGAATATCTGAGGTATCTTTTTGGGGTTGAGTCTCTTGCTAAGAATCCGTTATGGATCTAAAATAATCAGGTTGCTTCTTCTTTCCTCCAAGAGAACAGAGAAGACTAGCGAGTTCGTCTGGGTAGGAATGGCCCAGCAGAATGGGAGGCTCCATTTAGATTTGAAATTGCGAACCTTATACACTAAACTAGCCTTAGAATTGCAGATTCTACGCCAATCTACCAGTATAATATCTCTGAGACTCTGAAGCATTAGAAATTGCAGTTTTGGACCTCGAGTGGAAGATGAGCCAAACCTCTGAGAGTTCCTAGCACACCAGAGGATCCACAGACCCAGTGCTCTCGCTATCCATGCTGGATATGGAGCTACACAGTCCTTGTGCCTATCACCTTTGATGAGTGCTTGTCGGTTCCATAGAGTCTCTCCTTCCTCTCCCTGGTATGCCCTGGACCATATCTTCTTCCACCATTCCCAGAAGGCCTGAGCAACGGGGCATTGCCACCAAATATGATTGATGTCTTCAATAGCCTCCGGGGAGCATGAGTTGCAGAACAGCGATACTCTCATCCCTTTAGTAACACACCATTTGCCAGTAGGAACACTTAGCATATGTATAAGCTATGTGTCTATTCAACGGGCAACGGGAAAGTTTCGACTCCGTTGTACCCGTTGAATAGCCCCCGGGGCCCCGTTGAATTCCCGTTGAATGGTACAACGGGCCCTCCCCGTTGAATATTGTTCAACGGGGAGGGTGCATTGGGCCTCGGACACGACGCTGGACGCACGTGAACCAAAAAAAAAATCGTCCCGTTGAATCCCGTTGAATCCCCGTTGAATCCCGTTGAATCCCCGTTGAAGCCCCGTTGAATCCTGTTGAATCCCCGTTGAATCCCCGTTGAACCCCGTTGAACCCCGTTGAATCCCCGTTGAATCCCGTTGGGAAAAAAAAACGGACGATGAGAACTATGTTATGCAGAAAAATAAACTGAACAACTTTTGCCTCAGGGTCACATCAAAAATCTTCACCAAATTAAAAGTAAAAAATAAAATATAAAAATAAGTTATTTATTATTATTATTATTATTATTTTTTTTTAATGTGTGTGTGTGCGTGTGTGTGTGTGTGTGTGCGCGTGTGTGTGTGTGTGTGTGTGT